CACACACATAACACAAAGATGTGTGTGTTATGTGTGTATATGCACATAGAAAAATGATGTGGATATTTATAAATCAAAACATCAATAATGGTTACCTCTTAGAATCGGATTACATTTATTGTTTTTACATTTCACTTCATTTTTGGAATTTTTGCAATAGCCAAGTATGTTAATTTTATAACTCTGTAACTGGATAACTAATTTTTGGAAAATGAGGAAGTAGGAAAGTCATTTCAGTTTGAAGAAAATTATTTCTATTACGGGGTGCCTGGGTAGCTCAGCCAGTTACATGTCTAACTTTTGATTTTGGCTTAGATCATGGTCTCAAAAAGGTGAGACTGAGCTCCACACTGGGCATGGAGCTTGAAGATGCTTTGTCTCCCGCTGCCTCTACTCCTCTACTCCTCCTCCCTTGCCCATATGCACTTTCTCTCTCCCTGAAAGAAGAAGGAAAACAAGGAGAAGACCAAGAACAAAAAAAAAAAAAAAAGTAAGCCTACCTATTTGAAGGACACAACTTCACAAGCTCTCTCTGTTTTAGGCTGGGCTGAAGTAGACCTATTCTTTTCATCCTAAATTCTTACTACAAGTGTTTGTTTCATTTTGTTTTTCATCCCATCAGGTAAAACTGCCTCTCTCTGACCCCTTTCATCCAGACCCAAAAATAAAGCAGTGATTTCCTTCTCTTAGCCTTTGCATTTTTCAGCCTAATTGAACAGTCAGATATAATTTAGGCAGTATGACATAAAACTTGGTTTTGGAAAGCTCAGCTGCTATAATCAATAGGTACGTTTTATTTCTTTTCCTTATTTAGTATACGTTATTTGATATGCTCAATTAGATTGCTTAACTTTTTCATAGTGGTGATCCTTATTAAAATTGCCTTCAAGGGGCCAGATTCTTCACTAATTGAAAAACATAATTGGCAAAATAACAACTTTAGCTTTACCAATACTTTCTAATACTATACAGCAAATAAAATGGGTATTCTATGAAATTAAGAAAGTGAATTATAGTAATAATGTTGATGTTTTTATAAAAATTGTATTTGAAAATTATCACAATTACTCATACTTAACCTTTAGCTGAAAGAATCACTATGGTATTTTCTGTATATGAATTTTTTTCTAGTCAAAAGAATATTTTAACATTCTTCACAGGACTATAAATAATTTGCAACCACTTAATAATTTTTATTATTTTCAAGAATATCATTTTAGAGCTCTGATAATCTCCAAAGCTAAAGCAAATACTTGATTATTTAAATACAATTTAGACATTTGCTATCCTCTCACATTCTTTCTGTAATTAAATAGGAACTTTGTATTACTACTGTCTATGCTTTGGCTCTCTTTCTTCCTCCCTTCCTCCCCTTGGCCTCGATGTGCTTCTTTGGGTTTGATTTGAAACATTAACACATCATGGATGAACTCAGGCAATGTCATCTGTCATACTTACTATGGCTGATCTTTGGAGCTGCTTGTAGGCATAGATATTGTGGTGTGCCACCCATATCTCCATCTCTTCAGATGTCTGAAATGCTGGCTGTTGACAGCTCAGTTCTAATTCCCAGTGACCTTGTTACATTTTATGTTCCCTCCATGGGCACCCTGTCCTCAATGACCAGTTGATAAGAGGGTATGAAACCTGGTCCCCTTACTTCAGTTGGGGGTATCTTTGAAAGGCCATGCCAGCTTCAGAACAACCAGTACAATGATAGTATCTTTAGAGCAGCTAAAACCTTCACACAACTGCATCACGGGTGGCTTCCTTTTTCTACCCATCATGGTACCTCTGTTTTCTTACAGTTGTTGTTGTGGACTCCAGTAAACTTGCAGAAGCACATTTTAGGGTCTGTTTCCTGAGGAACTTCACCTAGAATAGTCTGTGATCTTTTAAAATATTTCTTAGTAAGTACTTAACTTATATTTTGCCTCCTCATAGCATATTTTTAAAAGTCTCTTCATATTGGGTTACATGAAAAGCTACCTTGAGTTTTCGGTTGTGAAGGAATCACCTATTTCACACAGAGGCAATTGAGGAAGGAAGTTGAGTGGAGCCTTATGAATGATTGGATATAACATATATCTGCTCATCTTAATGGCCATCACCAAATGGATCCATTCCATGGCTGATAAAATGGAAAGAGTGTTCTATGTACATCTATCCCTATTATCATATGTACAGCCAGATGAGCTATGATTCTATTAGTTCCCAGAACTCATTAAGGTCAAGTCAGGTTACCATTCAGGAAGAAAGTATAATGGAAAATCATGCTGCTACAGCAGTATTAATGATTCATTAGGTGACACTCTACCCTCTGGATGTTCTTGAAATGATCTAAATCCAAAGTGTCATAGCAGTTACACCAAAGCCATGACACAATAAAATAGAAGAACTGTTATGCTAAGTCACAAGTGGACAATTCAGCCTAATATACTATGTATTTTTTTTTCATCAGTGATAGTGAAGATGAACCTAATTTTTTTTGACAATTGAAAATTGCATTTAAAAGTTCACTGTGAATCTGGTTGCCGTAAATTAACTTAACATTTTTACATGGTTTATATGTCCAGTTTGTAGTCATAAAATACCATATACTGACTATACTTCTTATAAGGAAATACTTTATTTTACCCAGCCCCAAGGTTTTCCTTCCAACTACAGTAGTTCCACATTTCTGCATATATATGTGGTATGCACCCTAATAGGAAAACTTATTTTATAATAGTTAAATAGTAAACTTTTGCATAGTGTGTACAATGTGCCAGACACTATTCTAAGTTCCTTCTGTGTTTGAACTCATTATTATCACAACTTTACACACATGGGAACTGAGGGTAAGAACACTCAGGGACTTGCTAACACCACACAGCTAGTAACTGTCAAAGGTGGGATTTTATTTTATTTTATTAAGGATTTCATTTTATTTGTTCATGAGAGACAGAGAGAGAGAGAGAGAGAGAGAGAGAGAGAGAGAGGCAGAGGGAGAAGCAGACTCCATACAGGGAGCCCAACATGGGACTCGATCCCAGGTCTCCAGGATCACACCTTGGGCTGAAGGCGGTGCTAAACCACTGAGCCACCTGGGCTGCCCAATGCCCGGGTGGGATTTTATAACAGGCATTCTGGCTCTACACTTTATTATCGGGGACCAATTATGTCCTTTACACTAAAACAAGGCTGGAGTGATAGATATAAAACTAAACTTAAGGGCTCGAAATATTCTGGACTAAAGGCTAAATAAGTCAGTAATTAGGATCATGATGTAGATATACATCGGATGTTGAGGTATCTTTGGGGTCAGATAAGTGGAAGAAGATGGATTTTGACCTCAATATAAGAAGATAAGAGATGAAGAGTGAAGCTGGAAGGGTACACAATGCAGACAAATCTTTTGTGCAAATTTATAGATGCAAGATAGACTATGGCATTTGAAGAAACACAAGTAGTTTGGTATGGCTGGAAAAGGGACTTGTGTATCAGAGGTTAGAATGAGAAAAGGGACAATTGTATTAACAAGAGTCTTTCATGCCAAGTGGTAGACTGTGGCCAAATCTATCCTACGGAAAATTTCTAGGATTTATTGAAAGCCCCAGTTGTAAAGCCCTAAAGTCTCTAGGCCTGCAACATAGGGAGAAATTCCGTATTAGAACAGTGTTGTCTCACTCAGTCTCTATTAACTTGGAGTCATCTAAGAATAGATGATGAGGCAGGTCCTACTGCTTCAATTCGGGACGCAACAAAGTACAGGAATGATGTCACTATGACTTGTACCATCCCATCATTCTCAAGTTCAGGGGAAGAGATGAATCAGTCCACCCATTAATCTCCTTTCCAGCTTCCTAAACCTCTTCTTGGGAATTGAGTAGCCAGAAAGATCAGACATGTAGGATCAATGTTAACTTTCTTAGTTTCAACAGACACCTGTGGAGTTCTTCAGTTCCTTTTACTTGGGTTTCCAACACTAGCTATGAGAAAACAATGTAACCTAGAAAAGAGAACCCACATTCTCAGTGGTTTCCAACTGTAAAAAAGATCTCAGCAGCTCATTTTCTCTGGAGGCTGATAGTTGGTAATTGGTGGTAAAAGAAAAGGGAGACATGTTTAGTCACTGAGAATACTTCTTTCTTTCTTTACCTTATTATTTAAGAGATATCTGATTATTTTTTGATCTGTTGTTGATGCTATTTCCCAACATAGTTATTTTCCTAAATGTAATTAATTATTCATAATAAAATATTATACTATTTTCTTTCATGTCCATATTTGAGGTCTGATAAAGAATAATGTTGTATGCAATGGTGTAGGTTATATAAACATTATGACTTCACTGTTCCAAAAAAAAGGGAGAGAATACTAGTCCCAAAGGGTATACAGCAGTTTCTTTATCTGTAAACAGAATTAATATCTCTTATCATGTAGAGTTACGGGGGTATGTTGGAGATGATGTATATAAAACAGGAAGATGATTAATATAAAACAATCCCAGGCTCAGAGTTGGCTCTCAACAAATGCTGATTGATATTTAACACTATTTAATATTAGCATATACCATAAAAAATGAGGGAATTCCAATTCTACATATTCATAGCAACCATAAAAGTGGGAATATAATATTTAACTGATTCACAGATTATTATTATTATTGTCAGATGATTATGTGTCAGGCATTGTATCGTATTTGGTGAAAACAAAAGTAAACAATATGGGATTTTAGTTCCCAAGAGTTTGATCTTTATGTTGAAACACATGGATTTCTAATTTAGAATCATCTGAATTATTACTTACATAATAATAACAGTTAATACTTTTCTAGAGATTATTATGTGCCAGATACAGTTCTAATCACTGTCAACATATGTGTGTGTGTGTGTGTATATATATATATATATATATATACAATAATCTTAAATAAGTTTAAATAAATAATAATAATAAACATTATTACTTACATTTTACAAATGAACAACTGGGGGTATAGGAACATTATCACTTACTCAAGGTGCAAGCTGAATGACAGCAAGTCTGGGTATTGAACTCAGGTATCTGACTCCACAGCTCATACCCTTAACCATTTTATACAGCCTCTTCAAAACAGAACACATACATTCGCAAAAAAAAAAAAAAAAAAAAAACGCTTTACATATGCAGAAACTAAGTCTCAGAGAGTTAAATAGTAACTAACTGGGTCACCTTTGGCAACTCGCTGGTAATGATTGCTGGAGGCAATTATACAACACCAGATCCTGTGTGTTTGGTGATACAGAATTGTGTTTTGGGTGATGATAATCTAACTTCTCTGAGTACTCTACTTACATCCTTAGCCAAAGTGTGAAGCAGGGACTTTGTTTAGGTGACTATTCTGGCTTCATATTTAATCCCTGAGAATCAACATATAGATGATCTACTTGTTGATATTATCAAAAAATAAATGTTTTTTTTTTTGCTTTGTTTTGTTTTTGCACTGAAAATATTTCTAATAAGGTTCCCGAAGAACATATCTTAAAGTATGAGTAGCATCCATTTCTAAAGAATGCTAAAACAAAATGGTGGTTCTAAATAATGATGCAATTGCTCCTTTTCAACTAACTTAAAATAGAGATACATCCATAAGCCTCTCTCTGCTTGCTCAGAGAACAAGCACTACCCTTCATCTGGGGCATTAGTATTGAGAAGCATTATGTTGAAGCATGCCATTGTTAACTGTGTGTGGAAAAATGAATTTTAATTTTAAAATGGAATTTCCTTTAAAAAAACAGCTGCATTGGTGAAACTGAAAAGGCTATAGATTATTTCTATAAATTGCTTAATATGGGACCGTAATTATTAGATTAAAAAATGTTTCCAAATACAAGGAGGTTTTCTTAGTGCCACAGTCTCCATACAGCTAACTGAAGACAGTTTCTATCATATCTATTTCCCATTACAAGTACATTTATTTTATGTGTGTGTGCACACACATGTGAAGCTGATCTGGAAAGAATGGCGATTTCCAAATATCCCAACACAGGAGAGTTGCACATCTCTGCCTTAAGAGGAATATTTCAAAGGTCTGGGCAGTTGGCAGTCCTAGTTGGCTTCCCAGTCTTCACAAAATGTGGTATTCACTAAAAAAAAAAAAAAAAAAAAAAAAAAAAAAAAAAAAAAAAAAAGTCTTAAGGGGGATGCTTTTCTCCAGTGTAGATCCAATATTTGCCACTCCCTCCAGATTGAGAATTGAATCAAGGGCTGTTTTGATTAATATTCCCTCTCCTTTTTTTTTTTTTTTAGAATAATGAGGACATAAAGTTTATTATGCTCTTGACTCAGCGATTTCAAATAAAACCAGGCATTTCTGAAACCAGAGCAAGAACCAGAGGTCATAAAGAAGCTTAATTGTTGGATGTGAACCCAATTGTGCTGCCCTTCATAAATAAGGACGATAGTGTCAATACGCCCACACCAGTCATGGGTGGTGATTCTTCCCCCCGCAGTAACAATGACAGATTTGTACTAATGCACTCTTACTCCTTTTTCAGGGTCCTCTTCTGACCAGTAATATACTATTTGTCAGACTCCTAGTGGGGCAGATTGTTGCCTCTGGATGTGAATCAGAGCAGAGCCAAGAGCTCCCATGTGGGAAATCAGCCTTGACTCAGTACAATGCGCTAATTAGCCGAGATCACCAGCTACAGAGTCATATGCTATCTAATCAGACAACTGGACAAAAGAGGACATGTCAGCTTAGAACAATTTCAGGAAATTTGTGTCAGGGAAGTGTTAATCTGCTGCCCTAGATTGCTGAAAAATACAAAACTTAAAGTTAAATCATTATAGAAATTTGATGTAAGCCACATCGACATCAGGACATCATAAATCATCTTGTATGATTAAAATTCATTTATGTCATTGCTAGGAAAGTAAACAGAAATTTTAAGATAATGTCACCTAATGAAAAGAAAATTAATACTTAACTAATAGAGTGTTTATACCTCTACTGAATTCCTCTAGAATTTTAAGAAATGGATATAATGGTGCCATGTCTTTGTCTCTTTTTACATAAATGTACTATTCAAATATATCTAGATGTGACTACAAACATACAAGGCTAAGTTACAAGGGGATTAAAAGGATACTAAAACAGTATACTATAACAGAAGACCATTTACAGGAATTCTGAATTCATTAATTTCAAATTTGAGCTCTACTGCTTCCACTTTTTAATTCTTTTTCTTGATCCAAATATTTGAGTTAATTATTTAACAATAACAGTGATCACTTAAATAGAACTTACTATTTTTCAGCCTCTAGCCTAACAACCCTATAAGTTTCTATTATTATCACCATTTCACTGATGAAGAAGCTGAAGCATAAAGAAGTAATTAATCTGTCCATGCTCACAAAGCTAGTTAATTGGTGAAGTTGAAATTTAAAACAAAGCAGTTTGCTTTTATAGCTGCGTTTTCAACCACTAATCTATGGTTTATTGTTTAAGAAAATTGTGATGAATAATTTATCTTATGCCTAAAGGAGAAGAGTACAGTGTTTTGTTTTGTTTTTTTTTTTTTTTAAGTCAAAATAAGATTTGTGTTTCCTGATATTGCTACCCCACAGCCCGGTTAGATGTCCCTGCTTTTTCCTTTAATAGAACTGCTTTCAAGCTTCTCTCACAGCCTTTGCTACATGGTGTCACCATCACCGTTGGTGTGTGATCCCTTAATGGCAGGATACCTGAACCAAATTTTGTCATTTATAACTAGCATTATACCTAGTGCAGAATAGGGAGACAAAATATATGGGTGGAGTGAATGATTAAGAATGTTCACCTTCTACTTAAATGTCTATTTTAATCACCATGATTTTCATTTTATTTCATGACTGAAGAACACTAAGATTTCTTCGGAAAATTTTAATTCCATACTCAGTTTCAGATGAGTAAAACTTTTTTTTTTAATTAGTTTCAGAGGTAAAATTTAATGATTCATCAGTTGCATACAGCACCCCATACTCACTCTATCAAGTGCCCTCTTTAAGGCCCATCACCCAGTTACCACCTCCAGCAACCCTGTTTGTTTCCTAGAGTTCAGCATCTCTCATGATTTGCCTCCCTCTCAATTTTTGTCTTATTTTATTTTGTCTTCCCTTCCCCTAGGCTCATCCGTTTTGTTTCTTAAATTCCACAATGAGTGAAACCATATGGTATTTGTCTTCCTCTGATTAACTTATTTCACTTAGCATGATATCCCGTAATTCCATCCATATCATTGTCATTGGCAAAGTTTCATTCATTCTGATGACTGAGTAATATTCCATAATATTCCATAATATCCATATCCATTGAGATATATAATATACATATATATATTATCTTGTATGATTAAAATTCATTTATGTCATTGCTAGGAAAATAAAGAGAAATTCTAAAATAATATCACCTAATGAAAAGATAGATCGATCGATCGATCGATCACATCTTCTTCATCCATTTATCTGTTGGACATCAGGGCTTTACCCAGGTGTGTAAAGCTAGTATAAGCACAGGACTTTGGGGAAAGCTGGTAGATAATTTCTACTGCCTAATTTGAAAGTTTTAAAATCAAGAGTTTAGTTTTAGACATGCTAAATTTGAGGACATAAATAAATAAGAAAGTAATTGTGTATATGGGCCTAGAAGAGAGAGGTAGAAATGAACAAACAAAAGACATTCAAACATTTTTAAAAAAGAGTTTCCTATGTAATAATGGAACCAAAGAAAATCTAATAATTATATCACTCAGAGAAAAAAAATAATCTATAGTAAGTGGCTAAAACTGTGTACAGAGAAGTAGATCTGGATGTTAAAACTTTTATTATAATAAAGAATTTTTAAAAATAAATACACAATTGAAAAAGACTATCAAAAACTCAAGAACAGAATACTAAATAAAAACTAAAAATAATGTGTTATAAAACAGAATAGCAGAAGTTATGACACAATAATGAGATATATAAGAAGTGTAATGATTTTTTTAAAAGGTAAGATATATGTTCATAATTTTGGTAAGTTGAAAACGAATATAATCACAACAAAGGACCTAAAAATAAGGAATATTTACTATTTGTTATTCCATACCAACAAATGTGACAATTAATTATAAAAGATAATTTGTTTATAAAATAAGAATTAGCAACTCTTTCTGCTATTTTTTGCTACATAACAACCCATCCCAAAACTCAGTGACTTGAATTAACTTTTTATTATCTCTCAAAATATGCTGATACAGTATGTTTGGGCTCATGCTGTCACCTGGGTACATCCATGCAGCCTCAGTTATCCAGAAGATTCACTGGGTAGTATAATTTGACCTCGCTCCCATCTCTGGGGCCTTAATGAAGATGGCTGAGAAGCTGGGGTCTCTCTATACCAGTGGCCTCTCATCATTCTGTGGGCCTGGCCAATCTTCTTCGCATGGCTAGCCCTATAGGCAAGTGTTTGCCAAGTATCTCCTCATATTAGATTTTCTGACATCCTTTCGATCAAAGCAAATCATATGGCCAAGCCCAGTGACAATGTGGGACTGGACTTCAATTCTACCTCTTAAAGGGAACAAGGGCAGAGAACGCTACATCATGTTATCTACTGACAGCTATAGTGCAGCTATCCTCTGCACACTATTTATATTCCTCCTATGTAAAACACACTCATCCCTCCCTAAGACTATCAAGAAGTCTCATCCTATTACAATACCAGGCTTAATTCTGAAGTTTAGGACCTAACCATATAAACCATATCCAGGTGTAAATGGAACGTCTCATATAGTCACGCAGGTGGGACCCTTTTGGGTGAAAGTAATCAAGCCGAAACTTCCAAGTTAAAAAGACAAGTCATCTGTACCCCCATCTAACACAAGTACCCAACATACGAGTGTTATCGAAGGACAAGATAATTCCCACCTTTCAGAAAGTTAAAAACTGGAACTATACAGCAACGACAGGTATGTAATTACTTGGAAATTTGACCAAGCACCTTTCCTCAGTTTCAGTACTTTTGTGGAAAAGAATGTTCCCTGGTAAGAGT